AGGCGTGGCTGAATCGGCGGCTGCCCCGGCGGCCCGGCAGCACCCAGGGCGAGCAGGTCACCATCTTCCAGTACTGGAGCCACTTTGAGTCGCTGGGCCCCCTGGTGCTCGACACCTATGTGATGGAGCTGGCAGAGGAAGGTGGGTGCTCTCCCACCCTCCCTAGACCCTGGCATGGGATGCAGGACCATCACCATGGTGGGTCACCCTGCAGCATCGCTGTGATGCCCTGACCCAGAGGCTCAGCCAACCTTGGGGTGGGCAAGTAGGTCTGACCCGGGGCACAGCTCGCTCCCACGCTGCCTTCCTGAGCACCGTGGCTCCTTGCCATAGCTCCGCAGCATCTTGGCTTGGGTGCCCCAGCAGCCCCACGCGTTGGCACCTTGTGTGGGGCCACCTCTGCCCAGCGCGGGTGCAGGGTGCCCGGGGATGGGGTGTCAGTGCTCAGCCGGCGGTTCCCCACAGCGCTGCTGGCGCAGAACCTCAACTCAGACGACCAGGACGTGGTGCTGCGTGCCCTGAAGCGCGTACCCGAGGGCCGCCTGAAGAAGGAGGGACTGAAGGCGCTGAGCCTGCTCCTCGTGGAGGGCAACAGCAAGGTGGTGAGCGCCGTGTCGGCCCAGCTCCGCAGCTTAGCGGAAAACCCCCGCTTCCGCCAACGGGTACGTGCCGGGCAAGCCCGGGTCCCCGGGGTGCTGCCCTCCAGCTCTGCATGGATGGTGGCACTGACCGCCACCATGTGTCCCCCACCCCAGGCTCTCGTGTGCTACCTGGAGCAGCTGGAGGATGAGGAGGTGCAGACACGCGTGGCAGGGTGTGCGGCGCTGGGCTGCTTGAAGGTGAGAGGGATGCGGGGAGGAGGCAGCAGAGCTGCATCTCGCAGAGGAAGAGGAATCACATGTGGCCGGCGAGTCCGGACACAGCTGCATGCCGGAGAAGCGGGCAGGGACAGGGGAACGGGGAGGGAAGGGATGGGGCCAGGGGCTTTCCTGCACTATGGGGCTGCAGCGCCCTGTGCTGCCTTCTCCTCTGGGCTGTGTCCCTGCTGCCAGCCATCCTCAGCCCCTTGTCCCTTTGTCCTGCAGGCCAAGGAGAGCATCGAGCAGCTGGTCTACCTGTGCCAAACCGACAAGGAGCCCGTGCGGGAGGCAGCCAAGCAGAGCCTGATGCTGTGCGGTGAGTGTCCCGCTGCTTCTCTCTGCTCTCTTCCCCACCCACTGCATCCAGAGCGGCATCTCCCGGTGCCAGCAGGGGGTCCCGGGGTTGGTCCCTGCCTACCCCACGCACTCTGGCTCATCGTGCCCCAAGCTCTGCCAGGCAAGAGCAAGCGGGCAGCAAGGGCCAGGCATCCAGTGGCCACAGAGCACTAAGCCGGCTTGTTATTTATCATTTGCTAGATGGCACTGAGAGAACCATGTGAGTGGGTTTCTAGGCCTCCAGATCGCGGCAGCTGCTGCACAGGTTGGGACACGTGAGCCGTCCTCGTCCCCTCTCGTCCCCATCCCCACTCCTGCCGCTTTGCTCACGAATGTCTCCGTCTTAGAGCCTGTCAGCCATGTCACGTTTTGGAGTCTGTGTGTCTTGGTTGTTCATAGAGCCCATCCCCGTGGCACCCCGGCACATGTAGACGCCTCGTGTCCCATGTCCCAGCAGATTGTCCATGTCACCACCTCTTGCTGGGGGATGGCCGCCGCGGGCAGATGCGCATGCGGGGGTGCCGGGCAAAGATCTCAGAGCCAGCTTGTAGTGTGGATGTGTCCGTCTATCTCTCTGTGTGCCCCGGGGGTCCTGGGGAAGCCCTCGGGATCCCCGTGCCAGTGCATGCAGATGTGCACAGCTGTTTGAGACGCCGGAGCTGGCGTCCTTGGCCCCTTTGGCCCAAGCTAGGCAGTCCCCAAGCCAGCACTCCCGCAGCCCAAACTGTGGGTGATCCCTGCCCCGTGTGGGCACAGGTACCGCAGGCAGCTGAAGAACAGGATTTGTAACATCTCCATCAGGAGCTCTCAGGGCTTTTTGAGCCTGATCCCGCCTGGGACCTGCCCAAGGGTGTGCTAAGGAGGACAAGAGGTCTCCACTCCGTGGGCTGTAGCACGCCAGCTCAGCTCTGGCAGGCGTTAGCCACGTTTGCCCGGAAAAGCCGGGAAAGGCGGCTGTGGATGAGTAGGAGACAGAGCTTCTGCAGTTCAGTTTACTGACCGTGGTGTGTACTTGCAGGGGAAGACGGTAAATCAGCTCACCGGCGGCTGGAGGAGACCCTGGACAGCCTCCCGAGGATCTTTGCCCCAGCCAGCATGGCCAGTACAGCTTTCTGAGTCGCCACGCAAACCCACCTGCTGTCCTTTGAGGGCAAAGGCGCCACTGGGCCACCCGGCCTTGAATGGACTACGGCCGGCTGGGACCCGGCAGCTCCCCCCTCTTGGCAGCGCACCGCAGTATTCCCCTCGCCGGGCAGCTCGCCGCGCACGGCCGCACACTGCCTTACGGAGCACCGCTTCCCCTGCCACCGGCCCCGCCGGGGTGCCACCTCCGCATCCCTGGGCTGGGGGGGGGAATCTCGCTGCACATCCCACCCTCTGATTGCTATTTAAAATACACGGGGGGAACCCAACCTTCCTGCCCCCCACCTCCCCTCCTCGGCAGCTCCAGCTGCTGGGAGCGGAGCGGCAGGGAGACGTTTGGATTTCTCTGCCTCCTCTTGCCTTCCTCTTGCTCGTGGGCACGTGCCCTGTCCTGGAAGGACCTGCACTTTGGAAACCATTCCGTTTCTTTCCAGGGGGCCGCGGGGGACTGCTGCCCTTTTGCCACCTGGAGTCTCCCCCTCCCCAGGACTTAAATAAAGTGAAATATGAGATATTAATATATTCTGCTGGCGTTTCTTCTTTCCAGCTCCACGTGCTCCTGTCCCTCCCATGGCTGTAGGGAGCGTAGCGAGATGTGGCCCCCCCACTCCCCCAGCCCAGAGCCTTTCCTGGTCCACTGGGAAGTGCCGTGGAGGGCAGGGGCAGGAGGAGCGACAGAAGGACAGACAGACGGACGGACGGAAGCTGCCACTTTTTTTTTTTGTTGTTGTTGTTCTCATCATTGTTTTATTTTATTTTTTATTTACAGATTTTTGCAGAAAAACAAAAGCAAAAAATTCTTTTCTATAATGTCTCTATAAATCTATATATAATGTAATTACAGAGAACAACTAATTTTGATTTTAAACCAGAAATAAAAACAAACCTTTACTGAGTGACGGTGTCACCGTGCGGGTTTTTCTTCGGCCCCCGCTGCCCCGGGGGCAGGGTAAGCTGGGGGTGAGCGTAGCTGAAGGGTGGTGAGGAGGGGATGTCTCATGGGGCATAATTGTGATTTGTGGCATCACTGAGGCTACACGATAAGGTTGTCCAACCCAAGGAGCCATTGAAACCAGGGGTCTTTACCCGTGGTGGGAACAAACCATGGCGCCCGGCCCCAAGCGGGGCTCCAGAGAGCAGGGGGTGGAGGTCGCCCAGCTGAACCCGTCTCCATAAAGATTTGGCACCTCTTGGCACGGGGCCTGTCACCGAGCCACAATGGATCAAAGACTCACGGAATAGTTGAGGTGGGAAGGGACCTTTGAAAATGCTCACAGCAGGGTCAGCTAATGCTCAGGATCACACCTGGCTGGGTTTTCAGTATCTCCAAGGATGGAGACCGTAGAATAGTTTGGATTGGAACGGACCTTTAAATGTCATAGAGACCAACCCCCCTGCAATGAGCAGGGCCATCTTCAACCAGATCAGGTCGCTCAGAGCCCCATCCAACCTGACCTGGAATGTTTCCAGGGGTGGGGCATCTACCACCTCTCTGGGCAACCTGGGCCAGTGTCTCACCACCCTTCCTAATATCTAATCCAAATCTTCCCTCTTTTAGTTTAAAACCATTACCCCTTTCCTATTGCAACTCGTCTGGCCAACCTGTGCCAGCGCTTGACCATCCCCACGGAAAAAAAAGCTTTTCTGAAGTTTAACTCCAACCTCTTTACTTGAGATTCAGTCTGGTGCACGGGGTACAACCCAGGAGCATCTTCTTTACCCCCCACCAGGTATTAATAGACAGGGAGAAGACACACACCCCCACCAGCCTTCATTTTTCCAAGTATAACAGTCCCGTCTCTCAGCCTCTTCTTATGTGACAGCTGCTCCAATCTCTTAATCATCTTAGTGGCCCTTATGGTCCTGGGAGGGGAGTGGGTTAGAGCAGCAGTGACAGGGACCCCCACGGCACGGCCCCGTGGCACTGCCACCTGCGCCGGAGCAGGCAGACGTTACATGGGCACTGCCAGCGCTGGCGGAGCTGGGGATTTATGGTCCCCAGGTGGAGCAGGGTCAGTCCACCAGTGCTTCTCGGGGTTTCCGAGCAACTCCCAGCAGGTTACAGCCTCCACGTCCCTCTTCCTCACGGGAGCAGGGCGTTTTAGGCTGGCTCAGGCAGAATGCCACTCGCAGCCGGACACGCAGGTCACGGCCAGCACGCATGTCATGGTGCGCGGGGTGTCCCGGATGGCGACACCGCCTCAGCGTAACCACCTTTGGATGCAGTTCTATCTGCAGACAGGATTGCGGGAAGGGGGGAACCAGGGGACATTTTGCTGCATCACTGTTCGCTTAAGCCTTCCTCCACCTGCTTTGGGGGCTGGACAAGCCCCAGGAGGGAAGCAGTGTTTCTCCCTAAGCACCCCATCACACTCAGCTGTAGGTGGCGAGAGATGCGGGTCCCTGCTGGCACATACAGCTGTGGACAAGAGCACCCGAGAAGTGGAAAGTGGGACAGACATCTTACACAGTTGGTTTGGTGCTCCAGTGGCCAGAGCCACCACACTTGGGTCACACCAACCCCATGCAGTGCTACAGGCTTGGGGCAGAGTGGCTGGAAAGCTGCCTGGTGAAGAAGGACCTGGGGGTGTCGGTGGATGGCTGGCTGAATGTGAGCCAGCAGTGTGCCCAGGTGGGCAAGAAGGCCAGCAGCATCCTGGCCTGTATCAGCAATAGCATGGCCAGCAGGACTGGGGCAGTGATCATCCACCTGTGCTCAGCACTGGTGAGGCCCCACCTCGAGTGCTGTGTTCAGTTTGGGGCCCCTCACGACAAGAAAGATATTGAGGTGTTGGAGTGTGTCCAGAGAAGGGCAACGGAGCTGGTGAGGGGTCTGGAGCACACGACTGGTGAGGAGCGGCTGAGGGCCCTGGGGGTGTTCAGCCTGGAGAAGAGGAGGCTGAGGGGAGACCTTCTCGCTCTCTACAGCTCCCTGACAGGAGGGTGCAGCGAGGGGGGGTCGGGCTCTGCTCCCAAGGAACAGGAGATGGGACAAGAGGAAACGGCCTCAAGTTGCGCCAGGGGAGGTTTAGATTGGATATTGGGGAAAATTTATTCACGGAAAGGGCTGTCAAGCATTGGCACAGGCTGCCCAGGGCAGTGGTGGAGTCGCCATCCCCGGAGGTATTTAACAGATGGGTGAGACGTGGTGCTGAGGGACATGGTGATGGGTTTGGCAGTGTTGGGTTGATGGTTGGACTCAATGATCTTGAAGGTCCCTTCCAACCTAGACGATTCCCTGATTCTACAAATTCAATTGACTCACCTACGTGGGTGTCCTCCTTGCCCTGTCGAAACCCAGCCCCATCCCTGCAGCACAATCCCACCTTCCAAGATAAGCTGCACCTTGGCTGTAGAGAGATGGGAGCAGGAAAGCAGCCTTCTGTCAGGGCAGGCAGGGAGCTGCAGGTCAGGACAAAATGACTCTGCTCCTAGAAACGCAAAGAATAATCTCATTATTTATGTGGCTTTAAGAACATTTGGGGGGAAAAAAACCAAACAGGTTAATTTAGGAATCCATTGTTCAGCCCATTGCTCTGAATGCCTGCATTGCCAAGGACCTCTGCCCCACGGACACTGCCCGGTCACCTGGAATTGCAAGATTGCCATTTTAACTGGAATAAACTTAAAAAAAAAAAAAAAAAAAAAAAAAGTCTTGGTTTTTGGACAGCTCTCACTTAAAACATTCCCTGCAATTTGCATCCTGCTTGGGTGTTTTTTTTTTTTCATTTGAGGGCTGGGGAGGAGCAGGACAACCATCACAAGGGCCAGCTGTTTGAGAGGAGGCAGGGGACCCAACTTTTCCCTCTGGGATTTAACGTCTCCTCCAACCCTTGCGCAGGAACCGCACCGCTTCAGGGGCTGAACTCCCTCACAGCACACGGGGACAGAGGCAGTACCGCAGACCGCATTTTGCAGCAGCGGGTTTGCTATTTCAAAGGAGACAGCGTGCCAGCACCACGTTTGTCAGCCAAATCTGTGTCAGCGCTTAAAACATCTCCCTCTCGTAAGGACATGCTGGTGCTCAGCAGCTACTTGCTTTTCTGGTAGGAGCTGCAGCCCGTGGGAGGGTGTCTGTGTTGCGGTTACATCACCCACATGCTCCGGCTTTGGAAAGATGTTCCTTTTCCCCGCTTACTGCTGTTCTCCTTTTAATTAAAGGAGTGCATATGGATTCTGGAGTGCTTTGCAGTATCAGTTTTTACCTGCGTCCTAAGGAGCTCCTGCAGATCATCAGCACAAAATAATAGACCAGCCAACGTATCCTCCTCTTGGACGGCATCGGGGCTGGTGCGGCTGCCCAGAGCACCCACCAGCCAGAATGACCCCAAGCAGATGCTGCCACTTTGGAGTGTCACAAGCTCCCATGGTCCCTCCTGGGTAAGAAATGACACAAATCTTGACGCCAAGTCATTTTTAGGGGGTTGTAGTTTGCGAATCTTCGGTTTGAGCCCCTTCAGAGTTGGACCTCTCACCTTATCCCAGGCTTGTATGAAATCCAAGGTATTCACTAGGGCACTCAGAAATGATTCTAACAGCTAAGTAGTCTGCATTGAACCACAGCAAAGCAACAACATCCTCATGATCATTGACGTGTTCCTCGCAGGGCTGTCAGGCATGTACGTACGGGCTTGTTCACCAAGGACCACTCCTAGGGTGACAGCTGGGGCCTCATTTCATACAGAGACCAAAGTGTGCTCCAAGCAGTCTCCAAAACTTAATTTAGCACTGGCGTTAAAACTCATCTACTGTCTTCCTTAGAGCTGAGGGGTGGCGACTCCTTGCTCAGGGCTTGTATAGCGTGAGGGTGACAGAAGCATGGAGCTCCAAAGAGCAGGGAACGAGGAAGGTGAGCTCACCCGGGGCCTCGGCAAGGCGGTCAGGAGCTCCTCAACATCCTGAGCTGTTCTGCTCATGGGCAAGGTGTCTTTGAGGAAAGGCCTCACTCAGGCGATTTTTCGAGAAGGAACATC